AGAAAAATATAATGCGTTTTCATGCGACGAAGAGCTCTCTTTTGTTCATCGCGCTTACGTAAAAGTAACACTCCCTTTATTACGCCATGGAAACAAGGTGTTCAACTTGAAATCGATACTCGCTACTTCGCAGCATCGTTGACGAGCCATGATTTTATTAACGAGCTTCTGGCTCCTTTGGAACCACTCTCCCTCCTTTCTCGCTGCCCTCACCCGCGAATCTCCTTTCATCGTGCTTACCGATTCCTGGTTTGTGTCCCCTCCGTTTCCGGTGAAACTCGACACTTCTCCTGGGACGCGATATTGATCGCGGTTTTGCGGCTGAAAAGATTACTACGATCCGCGATAACGTTGCGCCGTGTACACATAGTCCGTATATTCTGTTCGCGTTTAGAATTGTCGATATTTCTCGTTATAATTCTGCCCGAGCGAAGGAAAATAATTCGCTCCCCGTATCATTGTATGAGCATGCGTGATTAACATCTCAAAAAATCAATTATTATTATCATTTATTGAATAGGAGCAGTGGCGACTTAAATTAGGTTAAATTTGACACTAGATTTAATAGTGTTAAAAAAAATTCGATAATTTTTAAAGGAATATTTTTATCTTGAAAAATCAAGGTTAAAAATTACACGGGTTAACATATGACCTTTTTTGTATTAAAATGTGAATAGTCATTTTCGATGTATTATACTTTTTGCTTGCTGAACACGAATTCGTTACTTATTATAAATTTGATTATCCATTAAATTTTTGATGTATTTTTAAGAGAAGTGGCGTCAAGGATGCAAAACAATGATTTTGAAAATATTTAGGACAAACGTGCAGCAATTTTTTTTAATTTTTATTGATATCATGTGAAAAAAAATTGTCAACTTTTATCTTTTATATGATGGATTCAACAGTAAAAAATACATCAGAAATGATTATTCATACTCGTAAAATGATATTGGTGTGATGTCATTATCTAATTGTTAATTAATTTTTATATTAAATTCAAATTTTTTAAACAAACATATAGTTAGTGTATCATTAAAACTAAAGCTAAGATAAGCTTAAATTTCTATTGACATATTCGTCAGCACTACAAAATTAATAAGAATTACGGCTGTTTTGATGCATAATACAATTGTACAACTAGTGTAATTGATAATTTATTCCAATGAAGAGGAATTACTTAAGATAGGATATGGATGTAAGCTATAAATATTAAATAAAAGGATGGACATACGAGTAGTGCAAGATATTATCACTATGTTTATTCCTCGTCTTCATTTCGACGGTCAAAAAGTTACGAGAAGAATTTTGTTCATCAGTAAGAATTATGTAGAACATTGTTTTTGCGCTTGTAAGAAACTTTTGTAATTTAAAGAAAATCAGAATTAGATACTGGAATAGTTAATTCTATATTATTTTAATGCGATATATATATATATCTCCACGTCGGAACGTGCCATTCGTAGAAATCTAGCTTTGGTCGAGAGTACAACCTACTTGTGGTACATCGGAAATGGGAGTCAATCGTCTTATCGATTTGAATTAGACATTACACAGGTATAATTGATTATATTATGTAAGCTGCGTTCGGTTTGGGCAAGTAACGGATGTGATAAAAAGAGAATGAAGTTTACAGCGCGTAAACGCTCATATTGAACGCAACCATAACGTAAAACATTAATAGATGAGTAATTTCTGTTCTTTTCAATAGTTGTCTTCAGTCATTAAGCTTTGTCGTGTTCGGTGGTAATAAAATGACGAGATAATCATCATCGGGCAGAATAAATCGATCGTTGTATGTAAATCGGACGCTGGATTAGTTGGTTTTACTATTTCAGATATCGCGACCCCGAGATATCACTACTTTTCAAATAAGCGTTTCGCACGACAGTCGATAACCAATCTATCGACCCCGCCTTTCGCCTTTAATTATTATAGTGTATGTGTATAGCCTTTTGAAATAATTTATGTATCTCGGCCTGTGTACTTCAGAGATCGAACAAATGCTTTTTTTGTTCTGAATTGTCTATTGCTCCAACTGATTACACAACGTTTCTTATGATAATGTCTCAGTGTTAAAACCTTTTTAAATGAACGCGCATATTTAGTTTATATTATCTGAAATATATATATATTTTTATCATATTTTGTTAAACATTATATATATATATATATATATATGTATATATACACACTAAATCTGAATCAGTATATAATTACTGATGATATGAGTGCCAAGACTGCCAAGTATGCCACTGATAACTAATGGATTAAATGTCAGATTCTTAAGCTAGCTAATCTTTATTGTGTGATCTAACTAATCTTGCTTTAGTGCATAAATTTAATGAATATTAGAATTTTAAAATTAACGTACAAATATCAGTATTTTAAGTATATAATGTTCAAACTTTCTTTTTCAGTTAAACTTCATAGATTGTCCAGTGCCAAGTGTGTTACTGGGTAATCAGTGACTATCCACTGATTCAGATTTAAAGAATATATTTTATTACTTATATATATCGTGTACTTTTATTATATTTTATCATATATGTATATATGTTTACGACACACATATGTATCTATTATTTTTTTAAATATGAAATTTAAAAAAATATAATTATTTAAGAGATTATATAGGAAATTAATTCTATTTGAAACACACAATAATTTTGTTTGAATATTATCTATAAATCCAATTTTTTTAAATAATGAAACAACGTAAATAGAAAGAGAGAAAAACTTCTGAAGTTAACCTATTTTTTTTAAATCAATATAATTCGTGTATTCTGACTTAATATCCTTTCTTAAAGAGTTGTATATACTGTTGTTGCTATAAATGTAAGTTTATGTAATTAAAAATTTGGTGTCTTTTGAAAGTGATGGGTATAGCATTTCGAAGATTTTCTTGAAAAATATTAGAGCGCAAATTGATCTTAATGGAAATAAATAAGTTACGATTGATTTCTGCAATGGAAATGATAAGTATATGGCATTTCGCATCTTTGGAATTTTATTTCCTAAAGCTTTTAATTGATCTTTTTGAAATTTATTGGAAACTCCGAAATTCTTTAGAGTAGAGCCAGAACTTTGCTAATAATATTGTGAAAATAGATCGCCAATTTCATCTACTCATTCAACAATCCGATATAATATCGTTGTGATAGCTCCGTTTTCTTGTTGCATCAACCAGCCATGACCTGCCTCAATGCGCAGGTCGTCAAGCACTGTAGGATTGGATTGGCTGCGTGACAATTCCGACAGCGACGATTGTTAGAGATACGCTTGTTCTCACAACGCAGAAAAGTCTGCCCGCGGGGAAAAAGATATTCTAATCACTGCGCTTGGAACAGAAACATCGCGTTTCAACGTATAATCTCGCCGATAAGATACAACTGAGTCATTAACTGATTTTTTGTTAGTTTCAATAGAAGAAAAGAGAAAGAAAAAGCAAGGAGTACAAATGCGCTTAAAGAGTGTAACTCTATAACAACTCTGTTATCCTTGTTCTATTTTTTGCGCTGCACAAGTTTCTGTCTATAAAAATAGTTTTATTATTTTAGTTAAAATTTTGCTGCGTGTTTTTATATATTCTCTTAGGAATATTTTAAAAGTAACATTTTACAAAGGCGCGGTGTGACGTTTTCTTTATAAAGGAAAGTAGTTTTATTTTGTAGAATTGTGTTCTTTTAGTATTTGGGCGTATATATTCTACTTTTATGTATATTTATTAAATTATCTCCGTCAGATATATATTTGCAATGCATTGCCGAAAAGGAAATTTAAACAAATATCTATAAAGTAGATATATGTAGTTATATTTGAATCGTCCGATGTTAACGTTGACTTTATGAGACAATACGTGCATTGTGAAAGACGCGAATGATTTTATAATGATTTTAATTAGCAAGATAATAACTGTGTTTCAATTATTTCAATTGAAACCTTTGCGGCAAATTTATTGTATGCTGTACGAGTACACTTACTGTCGATCGGAAGGTTTTGCCATGGACATGACAACCTTCGCAATCATTCACCCAAAGTAAACCTGCGATGTCCATTAATATTAATGTAATCATAACGAGAATATAATTAATATAATACAGTATATTATTGAATATGTATCCCGATAATTTTCTTATATTCCGAAAATTATTATTGTATTCGTTGATACTTTTGATTATTTAAATTTTATTGCTGCGTTACATTGACTCTTATATCAATCTTATACATTCACGAATGTAATTTTCTAAGACGCATCGAACACGTTTTATTAAAAAAATTAATTATAAAAATTAATAGAAAAGAAATAAAGATTTTTTATTTAAAAATAAACAACAAGAACACAAGGGCGATATAAGAGTCAAAACTTTAAAATATAAAACGTATAATTAATAACTTCTTTCGATAATTAATTTAACACCCATAAACATTACTTAAAAACTACTTACATGTGCTTAAAGAATATAAAATATATATAAATAAGTTTCTCGTTAAGGAGTTTCGGCTCTTGGATTGAGCCCTCCTCAGACATATTAAACAACAGTGATTGAAGATCGCTCACACGTCTCCATATAGGAAATTGACATTGATTACAAACGATTGAAAAATCGTATGTACAACAATATCTCTGAAATGATGATAAAAAACTTTCTTTATAAATGTTAAAAACATGTCAAAATTCTAAAAGCAAACTCACCAAACGGCCATCAAGTGAAACAAATTGATTAACAATAATATTAGTTCGGTGTTAATTATAAAAATTTTCAGAGATGCTTTATCGAGAAAATTTATAAAGTATTGATATATTACATAATAATTGTTTTAAATCAATTTACCTTTTTAAAGAATTAAGACAGGTATTTCTTTTTTCTCTACCATATATGTAGAATCTTCTAGGAAGAGACTGACTTTATAAATAATATTTAAATAAGTAGAATTACATTTAGTAAAATTAATTTTTTCTGCACATATAAAATCTATTCTTTTGTCTTTGCTTTTAGAATCACTGCGTGATTATAATGGACTCTCGTCGGACCTTTACAAATCCTCGAATTATGACAAGCTGGCGTTGTCGCTCCTGTCGCCGCTGCCGAACGAGCAGGACTTCGCCATCAACGTTTGCACCCTTCTGTCGAATGAGGGTAAACACAACTTGCGGCTCGACAAGTATCCCCGTCTGGTGAACATCCTCCTGGCGCACGCCGGTGTCTTTGACTCGCCTGGCACACGGCAACTCTTTATCGAGGTGTACTCACGTATTCGTAACTATTCCATTAATTCCTTCTGGTCGGATGTGCTCGATTCCCAGGATGTGATAGATCTCACGGACGAGAGGACCTTCATGAAAAAGCCACTCACCAGTCTGTCGACGTTTTCTAAACGGAAGACTGTTGAGAAGGAGAATCAGAGCAAACAAGACGTTATTGCATTGACAACAGAGAACGAGGAACCGACGGTGCCGAATGATGTCGAAGTGGTAAGAAATCTTTTGCCTACACATGTGCACGCGCACGCGCGCATACGTACACACACACACACACTCACGTGCACACGTATAGTGATATGAATCGTCGAATTGACAATGCCATCGTGTATAATAGAAAGATTTAGTTTTATATCCTGGTTGGAGTATTATTTTTCAGAATAAATATTTTGCAACAGTTTAAGATGCATTATTATTATTAAATTAATTATCAATTTAATTTTTGTGATATTATTATTCCGATTTCAGTTCAGGACTGTATTTCAAGCTTGACAAATGTATATATATGTACATTGTGAATGTATATATACATATATAATCAGTGCGCAGTTTACATGAACTGGAATCAAGATCAAGACATTTACTTCGTTATTTACTATCTGGAAAAAAAAAACACTGGAAAACCTGGAATTTTCAAGGGATTTCTTTTCTACTTCTAAAAATTGGAAAGATTCATGGAATTTTATTGATATTCAGGAAAATTTTTTTATCTTTCTACTTTTAAATGTTATGTCTTTCTGAAAACATTATCATATTTCTTTGATCAATATTTTCTTGATAATGCAAAATGTCAACATTGATTAGCGATAAGTGTAGCGTACATTTATGTATATTTTCGCGAGTTTAAAAATCAAGATGACAGTAGAAAGAGTAGTAGAAAGGTAGTACACAGTAGAATAGAATAGTTTTTACTAATACTATATTGTATTGATAAGCCTCTCCTATAGATTTTATGGAAATAGAAAAGATTAGACATAGTTTGTGAAATCCTTATTTTCTATACAGAAAAGAGTGATATTAACAGCACTGGTTTAACTGAAAATAAACATATGTCAGTTCGATATTAATGAAACAAATATGGTATACTCTTTTTTAAATAAAATATTATTTAAATTATTTGTCATAGAATTAACAAGATTAGTTTCAATTAGATTGCTATCGGCCAAATTATACTGTTAATACAACATAATTTTTTTGTGCACTAATTTACAATATACAGTTGTTTTTGTGTTATTTTTAATGTTGCATTAAAAATTCTTTAATCTTACCTGGAATTTTAAATAAAAGTATCCTCTATGTTTAGGGAAATTTTTTACAAAATTTTAGTAAACAGTGTGAAAATCAAACTTAATTTAGAATCTCTTTGTTGTCTATGTTTTAGACGTAATATGAACTATAAAAAAACTTTATCGATTTCTTCTTTGTTTTCGAGGTCCTAAATATTGTTTGTTATGTGGTTTGCAGATACTTACAGATTGCCCACGGCTAGATTTACTTGTCTTGCACTCGGACGAGAATCTGAAAGATCAAAACCAGAATTCTATAAAGTTTGAGGAGGAAGACAAGGATCTGTTTTGCGTCGGTCGGACGTTAGGTACACAGGATCCGTACGGGCAACGCGTGCTGCAAATCGCCGCAATCCTACGGAATCTTAGCTTCACGCCAGAGAACGCGACAATATTAGGCAGGAACCGTTGTTTCCTGCGATTCGTGCTGCTGTGCGTGAGAGCGAGGTGGAGCAATCTGCATCAGCTTGGCTTTGACATACTAGGCAACATAGCGAACGAAGTTATTTTAAAGGAAGCCGGCGAGAGGATAACGAACGTTGTCCTAACGTGTGTGGCCAAGGGAATTGAGTCCCAGGACAGATTTATCGTTATATCTTGTCTGGAGGTACTCAACAAGATCAGTCAGCAAGACTGTAACGAAGAAATTGTCACGTTTGGTCTGGCAGACAATGTATATGAACTTATATGCAGGTGAGTGTATATTTTAAGTATACATATAATTTTTTCAGCTGGTTGTTTATTGCAGATATAAATTTTTAGAAATTTCTGTAAAAAAAAACTTTTGCGTTAAAAAGAAATGTTTTTGTTTTACTCTCAAATTCAATAAGAAAACTGTTGTATACAAATAATTGTAATATTTAATAATGCCCTGAAAACTTATACAATTACCTTTTATTAGTACTATTGATATTGGTTGCGAGTATTTTTAATGTTGCTGCGTCGAAGTTGCAAAGCATACGAGATTTCGTTGTGTTTACTTGCAGATTTCTAGCTCTAAGTGACATAGCCCTCTTAGTGTATACTTTGGAATGTCTGTACGCTTTAACGTCGTTGGGTGAGAGACCATGCACGAGCGTCGCGCGGGTCCGCGGTGCCATCGATACGTTGGTCGCCCTCGTCACTGTGGAGGCGCAGAGCTACGGCCCGAAGGCTTGTATTCTCATGCGAGTTGTTGAGACGGTGTCGACAGCAGCAACACAGCAGAACACCACAAGTCAAAGTTCTGTCCCCGCCTCTCCTGCCACACCAGTCACAACGACTGCATCCGCGTCCACTCCGTCTACGCCGGCAACGATTACCACGACACCAGCACCTGCCAGTCCAGCGTCTTCTCGACCTACGACTCCCGCCGCGACCTCGACCAAGTCGACAACGCAGAGTACGTAATCGAAATTTTTTCTTGTTGACAATAAAATCACATGTTTTTCTTTTTTCTAAATTTTTATTTCTTTTTCACTGTTTACAGAAGCGGTGGAGACAGCAAATGCGATTCAACAACAAAATGCGCATCAGCAGATTATTCAAGAGAACGAACAGTTCGCTCTAGGCTGGGTAAAAGCGACCTTTGAACTCACACCCGGTGCACGCATTGAACAGGAGGAATTATATAAAAAGTACCTAGGTTGCTGTACGAAGATCGGTAGACGAGGCGTGATAGCACCATTGCATTTTCCCAGATGCGTCAGGTGATTACTTCGAGACATAAATCATTATCACAATCCTTGTTGTCATGTTAATATATATCTATTTTAATAAACGCTGTACTGTCTGTACAGATCCGTTTTCGGCAATATCGTGGGGCCGAATCCGTTGAAGGGCGAAAATACCGGTACCCAGTATTACGAAGGCATCCGAGTACGGGCTACACCCGCGCCGATAACTTATCCGAGCCAAACCACTGCTGTCGCGACTAATACACTCCCGATTCCAGCGATCAACACTACTCCAGTAAAGGTGCTTCCCGTTCAACAGCGTACAGTCAAGAATATAAGTTCCGCACCCGATAGCACGGCCGCTCCCCAGGTCGATAGTCCCGCCGCGTCGTCCGGGACGCAAATGACCTCTACCCCCGCGTCTCCCATCCTCAAGGCCCAATTGTCCGCACCGCCGAAACCCCCGTCCAACAACACCTCGAGCCAGTCCCAAAATCCAGTGACCAAGGTTGATTCTAAAAGTCAGGTGGGTCCGAATCCTAGTTCTCTCTCTATACCATTCTCTGCCATTCTCGTTTATGACCTTGGTTTTCACTTTGGTTGTATTGTAGCTTCGTAATGCTATTCTTACTATTGGTTTTCCCTTTTAACACGAGCTAGAGATACTTCCTTATAACACAGAGGTGAGGGAGTTCTTTTTGCATGTCTCATGAATCTTCAACTTAGCGTTCTGTGATCGCTGAAAGAGTAAATGAGAGAGATGTAGATAAATAGAGAGTAATTATAAGAGCAATATTTGTTTCCTTCTTTTTGCGAAAAATTTTAGTTTATTTGCTAAATTATTTACTATTTTATAAAATTTTATGTAGGATGAATACTTCATATTTTCTATTCGCAATCATCGCTGCGGTTATGGAAAATATCGACCAGAATTATTTCCAAGGAATCAATGTATTGTCTGTGATTTACGCTTATCAAACGCTTCTTCCAACTGCGTAAACAGTAGCTACGCTATAATATACGAGATAGATCGCAGCATGTTGCTCATGTAAACGCTTGAACTATACTTTCCGATGCTGTAATTCGCTGTGGTGGTTGAAATTTGTATGTTGCCTCCTTGTCGATTAGGTATCAGTATCGCATCCGCATCTGAGTCAAGCGTTGCTAGCAAGCGGCTCCCAAACGCAACAGCAGCCGCAGCCACAGTCCCAGCCGTTACAGTGTGTCCAGGTAGTTGCTAAGGAAGATAATCGAAGTGGTACTACGTCGAGTTCCATAATAAAAAGCCTATTGGCTACTAAGGTAACAGTCAGCAGCGACTGCATGCCCAGTGCTGCTGCGACTTGTGTGTCTACCCCTACTGCCTGCGTAACAAACACTACTGCTAGCATCGCATCCAGCATCAGTGCCAACCAGCTAATAACCAGCAACCAGGTATCATTGTTGTATATTAACAAAAATAAGTAGTTCACTTTTTTGTGGTTTTTCTATTTTTGTCTGGAAAGTACTACAAATCAAGATCTTAAGAGTTTTATTTTTTCTTAATATTTTTATGATTAATTACACTATCCGAAGGATATATAATAAGAACGTATATTAAGTATACTTAAAATTAATTACATACGTAATACATAATATAATTTAAAATAAAAAGAAGCTGCTATATAAATTATCTTATGCGTATGAATTATAATTGTTTTATTATTAATACATACACAAGATAAACTTTAACTTTATTTGCTTATCTATTATAGAATCTGTTACAGAAATATTACAGAAGAATCCCGTATCAAAATACTTTTCTATTTTTTGTAAATTATTACAAGCTGTCTATGCAGGAATTTGTAATAAATTATTATTTATGTTTTTTTTTTAAGTACTACTTGTCAAAATGTCTGCTTATGATGTAGTGTTGGTTGATGTACTCAGACTTTGTTATGTATTTCTTTGTTTTTTTAGAATATGAATTTAGATCAGAGAATGTCCTTTTTCCTTCCTTTCTTGACAAATATATTACGATAAAAGAGCCATTAGCAATATTTAACAGAGTGTTATTCTGAAATTTAAATGAAAGTATTCGTAATATGAAGTACTAACAACAGCATGGTTTTCGATTGGTGAATTCGATTGTTCTTTTGATATTTATTCTATGACAAATATAATAAAATTGTTGAGCGCGTGAAAAGTGTTACAATTATGGGGAAAAAAAAATTTCGAAACATTGATCCCTGATTAATATTAATGGATATCTCTTAGGTTGCCCAACGTCAGCAACAACAGAGATTACTGCAGCAACAAATGTCGAGTATAATACAGCCTGCTGCACCCGCGGCCACCCCGGCCACAATACTCCCAAAGACTCTCATCAACACTAAACAAAAATCGGCAATCGCACCCATTTCTGCCAAAAAGATACAAAGGCTCAATGGGGCCAAATTTGTTGTGACTAATAACTGCGAGAAGGTACGTAATCATCACTCTTACAAGTTTATAGCTTTACAAAATCTTGCGTAAAATCCTATTGTATGAGATATTTCTTGTATGTTCCAGACTGAGATGAACGATAACGATAATACCAATCAAATTATCACATCCACGACCACGGTGGTGAATCCGACTGAAAACCACATATCCTCCTCACCGGCGAAGATCTGTCGTCCGCCCTTAACGATAGTCAATGTCGCCACTGCTACACCAAACAAAACGAATCAACGCATGACATGCACTTCCATTGCCGAGGATTCAGATTCTACCAACAACTCTTTGGCGTCGAGCAGCGGTATCGGTGGTAGTAGAGACTGTTCCTTCAAGGTCGAAGAGGAGAACATGCCAACGAGCTTCGAAGGTATCCTACTTAACGGTGCGCCGGCGAGCAATATGGACATCGACGCGCAAGACGACGGTTCATCCAAAGATTCATCGAGCGTGGGCTCGAAGGACAAGCCGTTACAGAGTATGATGTTGGTGGACTTGCTCGAGAGGAAGGTTGATAAAGAACCGATCCTGAACGGCGTACTCAGCAAGAATTCAATTAACGAGAAAGAGTTGGATTTAGTGGAGAATCACATCAAGAAGGTATTAAAAGAATCTCCCGCTGAACTAAAAATTAAGTCTGAGATAGAAAGTAGCAATGTTATGCAAAACGAAGTGTCCGAGGATACTCTAATTGAGGCACCACGAGGAATCAAGAGATCAGCTAGTGAGTCAGATGAGCTGGATATCAAGAAGCCAAAGTATTCCAATGGCACAATGTCTCCTGATCCAGCAGTTGATTCGACCACAGCTGAATCTACGGTATCAAGCATAAAATCTGAAGAGCAGGATGACGATAAGGACAGCGAAAAAGCAACTGTTTCTTCCACTGCGGCGAATCTGTATGCTGCTCTGGCAGCAGACTGCATAGAAGACGAGATGGATTTGGAAGAACAAGTGAACGTTAACAAGGTTATAATAAAGGAAGAACCAGTGACGGAGACAGCAACGGCGATAACGACAGCAACGGCAACAGTACCGATGGTAGCGACAGCGACGGTACCAATGGCAGCAACAGCAACAGTGGCGGTAGCAACGACATCTTCAACTTCTCTTCCTCCTCCTCTTCATGTAAAGACGGAAGCGACGCCAGTTCTTTTGAAAGAAGAACCACCGACTTTACACATCAAGGAAGAATCTCATATATTCATCAATCAAATTGCAAGTATGAATCAAGTGTCGCAACCGCAACCACCGTCGCTTCAACAACAGCAACAACTTATAGTTACAACGCCTAGGCAGATAGTCGTGCAACAAACAATCCCGTCGAGCAATCAAATGATTATTCCTACCACATCAGTGAAGGGCAGACCGCCTCCACAACAACCGCAAGTACTCCTACAGCAGAGTGCAGGTGGACAGCTGCAATACGTAGTGTCGGGCGGTGTGCCTGGTCAAAACTACGTACTCGCACAACCACAGACGGCCTTAGTGCAGGGTCAAGCGCAAACCGTTCTCGTGGCACAGACAACACAGCAGCAGGGGACTGGTACTAAGACTATTATCATATTGCAACCGCAGGCTGCTGCGCAACCGACTCCTCAAAAAATGGTGGCAGTGACGCCGCAAGGACAGCAAGTGGTCGTGACACAAGTTCCTCGTCCGATTCTCCAAAGCCCAGCCCTTGGCAACATCCCGCCACCTCTTGTACCCACATCAGCTACTATCCCGCAGGCCTCCATTATAGTCAACAGTTCGGTAGCGCAGACCAACCCGAACACGGTAACCGTCACGATCCCAGCGATGACCCAGCAAACTCCAGTATCCACCAGCGTGCCGTCCAGAGTGGTGACGCCTACCCCGGCATCTACGCCGCCGCCCACTAGGCCCACAACTCCGCATCAAGCAGCGGCTACTCATGGTGTGTCTACTGTCAAGCCGTCATCCGCTATCAAGGTTGTGAAGACGGTAAGTTCATCAACCTCTACCGAGCCTGAGTCGAAACCCTCCACAAGCCAACAGCAGCATCAGCAACAGCAGCAGCAACAGCAAACGCCACAGCCAATGCAAGAGAATAAAACTATGATTAAAATCGATCCTAACGCTTACCTGTGCGAGTGGCGGGGCTGTCTTAGGTAAGTTCAAAGATAAATTTTCGAAATTAAAAATTTTATTAAACAATTTTGCAAAAGCTATCGAATGAAACATAGTTATATTAATGAGATATTGCGAATTTTAATGAAAAATATCTTAAATAATTTTAGACAATTTAAAACACCGCATGAAGTTTATCTTCACGTTTGCGAAGCCCACTGTCCGAGTGGTGGTGAGGAAATACTATGTCTGTGGGCGAGCTGTGACGCTCTTAAGAGACGAAAGTTCTCGTTAATGACGCATCTTTATGACAGGCACTGTAACGCGGACGTAAGTAATCTTGCATTTTACTATTCGTGATTTTTTATTGATTTTGAATAGAAATTATATCGGACGAGACTTGGCACCGTGAGATTTACATTCATGATTTGCATTTTTCTCTTCTCAGACAATGTCGATGAGGAGGAAACAGTTGACAGTGACGGGTAAAACCGAAGTCTCTACATCTACGCCTCCGACTCCGCATCATCCCGGATACGCACCCAACGCGGCATTCCATGCTATTAAACGGCATGCTCTGGAATTCGTTAATCCTAAAGAGCTAATGGTAAATTTTGTTTAATTAATATTTTAAAATTCCGAAATTTATATATTCGAGAATACAGAATTAAATTTTACTGCTTTGTTTGTTTTCCGCGCCTGTTTAATGTTTATACATTATACGTTGGCCCTGCTATACGATGAAATTAAATTTCGATACGTCTATTGAATTATTTTAGCTTACAGTTATATCTTTTGCACTAAAATTTGATAATCCAAACAGACTTTAAATGAATATGTGAAGAAAAAAAATGAATATGAATTCTGAAAATGTAAATATGTATGGTGGTAGGATTTCACAAAATTTATTTTTGCTATTTTACTTGATTTACTTTATACTTTATTGTCAAATACTATTAGAAACTGCTAAGGAACTTCGATACGCTCACTGATATACATAGGTGACTATCTTAATATAATCTGTAACTGACCATGTTTAAACATTTCATATCTCAGATACTCTTTGTTTAAAATAAAAATTTATAAATAATTTTTTATTTTTCAAAAACTTTTTTGCTATAGTATT